TTACCTACTCTGGTTCATGTCTTGGGAGATGAATTGGCTCATTTTGCTCACAGAGTTCATAATTTGAGTACTACACATAACTTCAAAAAGTGAGTGGTAGATTGCACAATGCACATGGCTTCACTTTCTTATATGGTGGTGTTCCTTGGTGGATTTACTTTTCTCAGTGGAAGCTGTTGTGTCCATATAAATGATAAATTGGCACACAGACACCTGACATGTTGTCCCTTCTTGACCCTTCTTGTTTCAGTTGCTTAACTGTTTAGGACTGACAAGTTGAAGAGTTTCCTGAAGCATTCTTGGGCATTAATGATTTTTAGAGGATTGCTTTTTGCTGATAAGTTTGTGAATTATAGTACTTAAGAAAATGAACAAATAAAATCTATCTTTGCCTCAAACTACTGAACAACAGCTTCCATCATGTGTCTGTGTGGCTGAAGGAAGGAGAAAAGCTGTACAAACTCCCTTTATGGAAAGGTAACAATGATTTCTATGATGCTTGATGTAAATATGGAGAGTGTATTTTTGGTCATCAGTGCACAGTTGAGCTGTATTGTTATTTACTGAATTTTTTCTTTAGTATGTCATTAGTGAAGGTTGTACGTTGTGTTAAATAAACCATGTAACCATGAATTATTTCTTTGGAAGGAAAATGTGCTATGCTAAGCATGCATCCTCGAGTATGTTAAGATCTTGTGTCCACTGATGAGCACTTGGATAGCAGTATATTTGGGCCTTTTCTGTTGTGGTGGATTTTTTTTAATTCCCTTGTAGACACACTCAAAAAGAAGGGGGGAGGAGGGGCAGAAGGAAAATGAGCTATGGTGGACTTTTCTCTCTCTTCATAATTTGCTGAAGGGAAATTGGAAATACATGGTTGTCATCTAATTTCTCTAATACACTGTAATGTTGAACAGTGTACTCACAGCATGGACTGATGCTAAATAACCAGCATTCGTTATCTATGTAAATTATGTATGTGAGAAGTGCACGTAAATTGCAAGACTCTGGTCCACAAAGGTATTTAACACCTGTGCCCCACTGAGGTCAGTGGGAAGTAGGCAGTGTAACTGCTGGTTGTGAGCTGCAGCACACAACATGGCACAGCTGGCCTCCTCTAGGGCAAGGCTTGCATTCCCCAAAATGTAGCGGTGTAGTTGTGGACTGTGCACTACTGTGTGTTGATGGGCACATTTTCTGGAATTGAAGTTTGATTATAAAAAGAAAGAAGCAGCAAGAGGACAAGGAAAATGTCAGACTAAGTTGGGGAGAAATGTAGAGTGTGGGTCTGATACGACTTCAGTGCTGTTGGGGAGCACTATCATACAAATTGTATCTGAGGTCATGGAAGCCTTTTCACCTGAGAGTCAGAAGTACTCTGTGGAGCAGTGGCAGTTCTCCCCTGGAGTCCAGGCTGCTCCTGCAGACTGTTTGGCAGATGATATCCATTTCTGCCTCAGAAGCAGAGCACTGAAGTCTTGTCAGATGGCACGATTTTCTTTCTGTTCGCTGAGTGTTTTTGTTGTTTAATTCTTAAGAGCATACAGTGCCTCATTTCTGACATTACAGACTAAAACAGAGAATTTTCTTATTCTCAGGCGATTCTTTTAAATCGATAAGCTGCTTGGTGAGTTCTCGGGGTCTGAAAGCATCCTAGCTCTTTGTCTCAGCTTCGTTAGTAAGCACGCAGGAAGTGTTGTGGTGCAGCCTTATGGAGTAGCTGTCTGTGTTGGTGAAGGAGGGCTGATAGATGTGTGTTGGCACTGCAGTTAGTAAACCTCTGTGCTTTTCTAGCCCACGCAGACGTTGCAAGTGCTTGCTCTTGTAGTTTGGCCCACGAAAAACAAAAGAGCTGCTTGTGAGATCAGTGGATGGAAGCTTGATGAGACATACTTCTTGTAACACCAGAGCGTGCAGTTTCTATATGCAGGCTGTCATGTAGCTGTAGTAACCCATCTGGTGCCTGTCCCTATAGCTTGGCCAGCCGTCATCAAAATGACAGCTAAATGGAGGCCTACCAGTAACATCTCATTGGAGTGAAAACTTACAGCTCAAGAGTATAAATAATCACTGAGAGTATTTTGATCCAGAACAGATGCACTCTGTTCTCGTGTTTGGCTTGAAAATACTTTTTAGCAAAGTGTAATCCTAGTGAAGTCAAAATAGTGGCTAATAGGTTATAACCCAAGGTTAACACAACCTAATAAATGTTATTTACAGTTTTATTATGTTCTTTACTCTGTGTGCATCTTTTCTTCCTGATTTGTTTCATTGGTCATAAGAGTGTGCTATAATTTGTCTGGATCATGGTTCCCAGATGACTGAGCCATTATTATAAACAATCCTCTCCTAGATAAACTAATGAGTAGTCTGTGGCAGTGTCCACACATGGTACATGCCTGGCTGGGTACAGCAGGATAGCCTGAAGATCATCGTTTAACAGGTAACTGTTTCCCAACTACTGTAGGTTCACAATATAAAATGAACTGAGAAACAAAGGCTTCAGTGTTCCTCTGACTGAGAGATCAGCAGTATTTTCAGATAGAAATTACAACTTTTGTATTGTTACTTAACTGTAGGTCAAGGATTTTTTTTGTTGCTGTTGTATACATTACAAAATTCAACAAATGCTAATTTTTTTACAATGAAGTTTTAAATTGAGAGGGGAAAAGAGCAAAGCTCTTACTGAGACCAGCATTTCCTGAAATGAAATAGACTTCTGGCTGCTGTTTGAATGCCTTTCAAAATGGAATAACACAGTGCAACACATGGGGATTAGACAGCAGCCAGAAATAAAGGCACAACAGAATCACTCAGTTTACTTGCTGGGGCAGCAGGGCAGAGTTTTATTGATGGATCAAACATGTAAAAACAAATACACTGCCTAACCCACTCTTTTATAAAACAATCCCATGTTTTTTTGCCAGCCTTCCAATTTCATTGTGCAACTTGTGCAATGGATTGTAATTTGTATACATACTCACTTAGTGTTCTTATTGACTTAATCGTTTTGTAATGCTGCTGATGAAAGAGTAAAGAAATAGCAAGTAAATGACTCTATTAAACTGAAAGAGGAATTCAGAATTTGAACGGAGGGGACTGCAACACTCATACACCAGCCAACTATGCTGTGGAAAAGTGATGTTGAGATTAACGTAATGTAATTATGATCTAAAGGGGAAAAGGGAAGAATAGAAGCCTCCAAACTAAAATAACACTGCAATTAAAACATCTAAGATTCATTGTTCTTGACAGTGATGTTCCGGTAAGCAGTCTGGGACTCCAAGAGATTTAGGATCAAGTTCAAATAAGTTTTTGGCTTTTGCATAGCAGCTGGGTTAGTGCTTAGAAATGTGGGCATCATTAGGTTTGTAAAGCAAAGCTCACTGTTATTGGCTTACAGCGTTCGACTTCACTTTGTCTTTTCATTTAGGCGAAGGCAGAAATAGGGGATAGAATACAAGACACGTTTGGCCACAGGTGCAGAGAATAACATTGAAAACTAAAATACCATACAAAGACAAAGTAGTGATGTCAGGTTTAAAACTGTTTGCGTACTGTAAGCCATGCAAATGAGACACTGCATTTGTGCTTTTTTTTAACTGAATTTTTTAAAATGTTGAGGCACAATTTCGCCCCTGGAAACCATGTACTATATATTAAACTCAATGTATAGCTGCTTTCCAAAAATCAATTAAACAAATTAGAAGAACACAGCTGCTTCTGAAGCATGTGAGAAAGTGCCTGAGAGTGTTCTGCAAAGGTGCTGCAGCACTGAGGAAGAATTGCCTCTGTTGTATCAGAAATGGATACTTCACGATGCACGTGTGCCTTGCTGACTGCAGAGCCAGCAGCAGGACATCATTCCTGGTGCTGCATCCTGAGCTAGAAGGGACTGCTCTGAGGCTTCTGTGCACAATCTGTGCTGTGAGTGGCATGGAGGTGGAGAAGGATTGATTTTTGCAGAACAAGAGAAAGCTGTTGTCAAAGAAAAGCAGTTATCTGCCAATTATGTACCTTCTTTTCCTTCTCCTTGCTTTCTGTGATTGATTATTTTTTCTTCACTCACAATGGTCTTGATATAGCGCTGGCACTAGGAGTTTGCAGCTTTAGGGGTTGGAATGGAGGTAGGCCTGCACATGCATGACCACGAACATCCTAAAACATCTGTTCTTTACTGCAGTTACATTCTTGCTCGTTTTATACTCTTCAGGCTTGAAGAAAGCTGTTTTTTCACTCCTGGAGAATGTGTGAGGTGTATCTTGTTCCTAACGGTTTGGAAAACTTGCTTACCATAGCATTTATCTCATGGGAAAACCATTGGAGAAAAAACAGATCTTGCAATCATAGCCCTTCCTAGAAAGTGCCAATTCAGGTGAAATACGTGAATTGATTGCTTCTCAGGGGAGTTCCTTTGTTCTGGTAGGGGCAGTGCGATGGGCCGTGTCCTGGATTGCACTTGCAGAGGAAGGCTGTCATTGCAGCCAGCCACTGTTTGTCCCACTCCTTGTTAGAAGAATCACAACATTCTCGGAAACTTTCTTAAGAATGCTAGACAATGCAGCCAAGTAGTTTTTCAACTGATTTGATTTATAAGAGTAGATTCTGACAATTTGGCATGAATTAGGAGTGCCTGCTGGAATACAGTGGGAGCTACGGTCTGAAATATGAGATGTATGTTAGAAGAAGACAGAGGCTAAACACTTGTAGCTAATGAAATACCAGAGCTTCACTTCCTGTCCTGGCAAAACATTCTAGAGCTTTCTTTCTTAAGTAAGAAGATGAAATTTGCTTACAAATATTTATGTTTCGGGGACTGAGCTTATTTCATTTGTCTCTGTTGGGGCAGAAGAATGTCCTGAGAAACATGGCCAGCATTTTTTTAGCTGGCTTATTTATATAGATAAGGAGTGGAAATTCTCTCACAGCATTTGTTCTGTAAAGTTTTATCTTTTGAAGTCTTTTTTTTTTCTTTTTTTTTTTTTTCTTTTTTTTTCAGGTAAGCTAGCCTTCTGGGTCTTAAAAAGAGGCTGCTGACCAAGATATCAGGTAGCCAAAGATTATTTAGGACAAGGAAGAGCAAACAGGCATCATGAAGCTGAAGCAGACAGCGTCCAAGCTGTTTTGATGTTTGATGTTTGTCCCTGCACTGCACTGCTTGGAGGAAGGTCTTGGCGAAGACTCAGACAGCAGGCAGCTCCACAGGTGGTTGGGGCCTTGACCGTGAGGATTCATGAATCACAGGTTGCTGTCTTATGGCTTTGTTTGGGAGCTGCCTGTTCCATCGCATTTCCAAATCCTAAATCCAGACATCTAAAATTGAAATTGAGCCTCTCTGCCTTCCAGCATAAATAGCATATGACATTCTCTTTTCCCTGTTCTTAAGTGCTGCTCTTCTCCGTTTGTTCACTTCTCAAATTAAATTCTGTTCTTCGTATTTCCAGTTGTAAGGCACTGAAAATTGTGGCCAAGCTTTCAAATCTCATTGTATGTTTGTAAACAGTAGTGGCGGTGGGATAATTTTATCTGCTTTCTGTGCTTTCACTGAAGCAAAGGACTTAGGTGTCTGTGATTGCAAGTCAATTACAGAGCAAAAACAACTAGCTAAGTAGCTTACTTCGATAGAGAATTGCCAGTATGGAAGATCTGGAATACAGAAAACAAATCATTAGTTACAGTGATTTCAGAAATCATATGAAAAAATCAAATAGTTTATAAATCATGCTTGAATAAAATCATTTCCTCTTGGGGATGATGAGGGAAGGATGTTCAGCTGTTGTTCCCACTGCTTTTCTTAAGTGGTAAGAATGTTTCCAGTTCCTCTTAGTCTTGCTTTATTATTTAGTCTCCTACCTTTCATTCTAGTCTAGGAGTATTTCCAGACTTTGGTCTTCACTTCCTGTGTGGTATATTGAATACAGCAGAAATCTAAGGTGCTTTTTGTTCATTCCTTTCTCTTCCTGGGACACAAATGGAAAGTGAGCGGTACTTTTCCAAGTTCTTTCTGTGAATAAGCTACAGACAGGAATGCTTTCTTATCTCTTGTGGGGTTGTCTTCTGTCCTCTCCACTGGATGTATTCACCCTGGTGTGTGGAATATTCTCTCTTCTTTAAGTTAAATTCTAATGGATCATGGGAAACCAAAGAGGCATGACGTGGAAGGATGAGCATTTTGTGAAAACTAGGAAAAGGAAAACTAGGGAAGATTTCATTCTGTGAAATAACACAAAACCAGGGTCTCTTTCCTTTGTTTACCCAACTGCAAGTGTGTTTGCTTAGGAGCCATAAGAGTTAATTGTCAAACTTTACAATGTAGTGGGGGATTTTCTCATAAAATGTATAACAGACTCTGCCCAGATGGCAAATGCTGATATGTAAATTTAAAACATGAAAATTTCCATTGGGGGCCAGATGGTGGCTTAATGTGAATTGTTTAACATTTATGTGTATCTTATCAAAACTGCCTTTATATGCCCAAACTAGGCTGTTGGTATGGTGGGGAGGGCATATCACTAAATAAACAGAAAAGCAAATGGTAATGCAAGGCACCTCTTGCTAATATGAACAGTGGGAAAGCAAAGCTTGTCCTTCTCTGCTGAGGGATGCCCTGTTCCTGGGGATGAGGCATTCAAAGATGAGTTGGAAGGGACCCGGGCAGCTTTGTGTAGTGGTTGGCAACCCTGCCCATGGCAGGAGGTTGAGGCGCAATGGTCTCTAAGATTCCTTCCATCCTAAGCCATTCTGGGATTATGTGGTTGTCTTTTGTTTACAAAATTGTGAAGAAAATGGGAGAAATAAAACCGCTGTTCATTTTCAGAGGAAAAATACTAAAATCGTGTTATTCTCCCCAAAGTCGTAATTACTACTGTCCAATATTTCTAATAAGTACCTTAACGTATTGGTGTATTTCCTCTCAAAATGGCCGCTGGGGTTCAGAGGGGAAGAGCCAAGCCCAGAGCAGGGGGAAGTGCTGCCCATGAAATGCCTCCTGACGGCAGCTGTGTCCTCGTGCCGGGCAGGGCTGGCTGCTCCGGCCTCTCTCGCTCCTGCCAAGGCGGCCACTTCCTCTGATGCAATCCAAGAAATTACACAAGGGAGAAAGGAACAAACGGATGCTTGTGGACTCAGTCACGAGGGCCCCTTGAAGTGCTTACAGTTAGCAGGCCTGGTGCTGTGGGAGGCGGGGACCGAGCTGTGCAAAGCAATGCCTGACTGTTGCTGGCCAAGCTACCACCAGGCTCCTGCTGCACGCCATGCACTGAGTGCAGATCCCTGCTGCTGCCTCCCTCCTAACCAGCCTTCTCCACCCAGCAGTTTGTGTTGAGTCACCTTAAAAATTAGAGGGTGGCTGTTTCACAGGCAAAAAATGAAATGCCTTTTAGTGGCTTTGGAAACATTGATTGCCAAGTGTATGGTCACTGTGTGGTGCTTTCATGGTGAAAGGTAAAAATGCTTCAGTGATAGACCTAAGAAAGAGTGCCTGCACTCACCTGTGGGTGCATGCATTTGTGTGTGTCGGTGTCAACAAGGCTGTGAAGTAATTGGAAGTGGGAGGCTGAAAGAGCAAAATTGCAACATATTTCAGTAGACTGCAATTTCTTTTTTAGTCCTTTGCTGTCCCTCATGCTGGGGCTGTGAGTCACCCCCCTGTGAGTCACTGGTCAATGGTGGCTCCATTAAGTTTGACCTGGGGCCTTGGCCTAATGCCCAGCACTTCTTATTTTCTTGACAAGGGCAGTATCACTGAAATCATTGGCTGAGATTATAGATAAATGTTAAATGGCAGGTTATATTTAAATCAACATGCTGTTTGATGATTTTAAATATTAGCTTACTGAACAGGAGAACGCTTCCTCCATGTAACCCATTCATGAAGAGTAATTACTTACTAGTATTTAAGACTATAATATTACTCTGTTCGTATAGAATTTTTCCAAGCTGAAAATAGCAGTAATCTTTCCCAGTTAAGTGGTGATCATTAAAAGCAAACAAATCTTTTTAGCTTAAAGTGCCACAAGATAAATACATTTAGAAGTTAAAATAAAAAAATAAAAAATAAAAAATAAATAAAATAAAAAAAAAAAAAGCTCCTGACAGGCATCTTTGTCCTGAGCAGAGGTGCAGCACTGCTTAACAAAGCCAGAGATAAGATACAGGGCTTGACGTGGGCCCTTAGAAGCAGTGACATTAAGTCAATGCTGTGCTATTCCTCAGGCAACAGCCCACGCATCAGGCGTGTTACAGTTTGTTCCAGTTCCACAAGCAGTGCTGTGCTGCCAGAGCAGGGTGCAGCTGCAGTGGTGCCTGCCATGCACAGCACCCAAAGCTCCTCAGGCTGTACCTCAGGCGGTTTCACCCGAGGCAGCATGTTTTTCTGGCTAAGGAAAATGTGTTCTGCCTTCCGTACCTCTTTTTGGATCGCTTTCGTATTTTGTGATTTAAACAGAAACCACGCAGCAGTTCTGCTATTTTGTGCAGTAGTCTGCTGCAACTGAGTGAGAGAAATAGCTCTGCTAATTCACAACCTTGTGCATTATACACACGCACAAATCTTTTTAGTAGCATTTGTAGCAGTGCCTGGTAGATGAATAATTCAGAAGTGAGCCCTAAAATCCAGATCCTGCAGTTTTATCCAGAGCATATTGCAAATGCTCCGAGACTAGGAAACAGTTTAGAATCTGCTGCAGAAGGAGACAGTGAGCAGCTGGTAAACTACTGGCCCTTAATGAAGCTATATCATACTGCAGCATCTCCAATTACTGCAGGACTTAATTAGTTCATTTTACCCTCCAATCTGGAGAGACCAAACATTGTCTTGGGCAACCACTGCAATTATTTCAGCTTCTTCATTGCTGGCCATTAAAGCTGAGTTTGGTGTCTCCCAGCAAGATGTATTAAATATGCCTTAGATGTCAGAATGCCTGTGTTGTGTTAAATGGGTATTTCATGTAACTGCCCAATGGTAGAAGTAGTTTTTTTAGCAACCAGTTGAAGTACATCATGTAATGTGTGTGTATGAGCATGAATGGTATTGAATTGTTAATGAAGAGATTATGGTCTGCTCTCATATGGACTCCCACTAACGCCATCGCTGTTGTATGGAAGCAGTCATTTTGAATGGCAGTGTGACGTGGCATTTAGGTTAATTCGTTTCTGTGCTGGAAAATAGTCTTAACAGGGAAGGAAGTGTTTAATTTGATATGGTGGAAAACTTAATGTACCTTGGGTGTAACTGCTCACTGAATCAGTGAAGTCCTGTTTATGTGAAATATGATGTTTATATACTTGTAGTTGCAGTGAGCTTTTGGACTCCTTTCTTAGCCAGTGTGATAGGATGCAAGAAAACAGCTCTGGCAAGTTGTGCCAGTGGAGGTTTGGGTCATGCATTAGGAAGAATTTATTCATGGAGAGGGCAGTCAGGCACTGGAATGGGCTGCTGTCATGGCTTTGGCAGGAGCGGAGTTGATTGTTGATTGATGATTTCTATGTGGTGCACTTTTCTTACAGAAGAAAGCAGTCCAAACTTCAGCACTGAGAAACAGTTTTAACAGCATAAAAATATGAAAAGTTAATCAGAGCCCAATTGATTAACAGAGTTTGACACTTCTTGATATGTGGCTTATACTCAACTGCAAACCAGTCACACTTACGTCAACTGAAATTAAGCTTTGAATTACAAATTTTTAGTGATAGTCTTAATAATTTTAACTAAAAAATAAAAAAATAAAAAGTACTCCTGTGATGTTGTGTTAGGTGGGCACTGGGAACCAGGTTATCCTCCAGCTTTGTAGCACTGTTCTGCTGATATTACGATTCGTGCTTGATACCAGGATGGACCATAAACATTTGAAAACACATTTTGAGTGTGGTTATTGTAGTGACTCAGACAACTCCTTGTGATGTTTTTAGCCAGTTTTTACAATTTCGTAAGATCATAGTGAAAAAAGAATTACATGAGTAGACTTATTAATTTCTGTCTTTCTCTTTTATATAGTTTTTTTTTGTTGTTTTTTTTTTTTTTTTACTTAGGTGATATTATTCACTCTATTGCTTCATGTATTCTATGAGATAATGTAGGAAAGAATACTAACTGTCTAGTTTGTGTGTTGCCTTACCAACTGCAACTGCTTAGTTTCCATGACCCAATGTGTGGGCTGTAGCAACCAAGCCTTCATATGGAGATATATTTCATTTAGATAATTTTGTAGGATTAAGAGAATGAATCTCACTTACATGAGTCTACCTGTTTAATGCAGAATTAAAAAGCCTTCTTATTGTTTTAAACCAGTTCTACTGGGGAGGAGGCTTGCTTCAAAACAGCGTTTCTATTACAGGACATGAACTTGATTGACATCCTTTGGAGGCAAGATATAGACCTTGGGGCAAGGCGTGAAGTTTTTGATTTTAGTCAACGACAGAAGGAGTATGAACTCGAGAAACAGAAGAAACTTGAAAAGGAAAGACAAGAGCAGCTCCAGAAAGAGCGGGAGAAAGCCTTGCTGGCTCAGCTGGTGTTAGACGAGGAGACAGGTGAATTTGTTCCAGCTCAGCCAGCTCAGCACATTCAGTCAGAAAACACTGAACCACCGATCAGTTTTTCACAGGTAAATTCTGTGTTTGTGTGTTTAAACCTTTTTTCCATCCACAGGAAGGTGTAATGCTAGTGGTTGCCTAAAATGAATTTGCGTTTGTTGCTGTAATGGAAGATTGTTCAGTTATTCAGAGATGCAATAACATTTTTTTCATGACTTTCCTATTTAGAGCACAGATACTTCAAAACCAGAAGAGGCCTTGTCCTTTGATGACTGCATGCAGCTCTTGGCAGAAGCATTCCCATTCATAGACGACAATGAGGTAAACGCTCAGTGCAGCAGTTCCGTGGGTGGTGTGCCAGGGGATCAGTTTCGTATTTTCTCATACCAGCATTTGTCTGCACTGTAATATTCATTTGTGATATGAGTTGAGTGCTGTCCCCAAGCCATCTGTAACTGGAATAAAGCCATGTTGTGGGCCTGAACTTGGGCTGTATCAGGAGCAGGTGGTGTGCCATGGTGCTCTTGTATTCCTTGTGCTTACTGAGTCCTGCAGGACATTTTGCTGGCCTGGCTGCCATCAGCCAGTGTTACTGCAAATAGCAGAGTGTTACAGTTTGTTGCGATGAGCTTAGTTCAGCTCTCTGGAATTGGTGTATTTGGACTGCTTTACTTTGATGCACAGATCCAGACTGGTAAGTAGAAATAAGCCTTTCATCATTCAGTTCGTGCTTCTTCCTGTTTCTGTCCTTAATGTGAAAACTCCTTTCAGGGGAATACTTTTATATTATTTCATTATGTTCAGTAAATGCTTTTGTTAAGAAATGCCTATTTATTCTGCAGAAAAGGTGAAACAGCAAGAGGAGACTTTTTGCTTTGGAAGATTCTAAGTGTATGTTTGTTTGTTCAACGCTCCAGGCTTCTCCAGCTGCATTTCAATCACTGGTTCCTGATCAGATTGATAGTGACCCAGTCTTCATTTCTTCTAATCAAACTCAGCCACCCAACTCACCTGGTATAGTTCCACTTACTGATGCAGAGAATATGCAGAACATAGAGCAAGTTTGGGAAGAGTTATTGTCCCTTCCAGAGTTACAGGTAAAAGTTTTGTATAATAATCATATGGGGGAAAAAAAAAAAAAAAAAAAAAAAATAGCAAGGTATGGGATACAACAGCATCTCAACCAATGGCAATTATGACTAACTTGTTGCATTTTACGATGTAGACATAATAGGTCTGTAACTCAGTATGAACTTTACTTTTTAAAAAGTAATATATTGAAGAATGTATAACAGGAAGGAAACAGTTCTTTATCAGGGTGCCTTAATAAGACAATCTGTCTTCCATATCAGAACTTCTTCATGTTTGACAAATGATTGTTTGCATCTGTATGCAACCTGTTACAGCACAATCATGATGGAAATATGAGCTGATTAAAAATAGATGCTTCTGAATTATGGAACTGCAGCATAAATTGTTTCTGCAGGCATTATTATGAATGAGGTTTTTTTCCTAGTATTTAAGCATTTTGAGTGCAAAAGTAATCATTATTATTTACATAAATTTTACCTAAGAAAAGGGTTTGTATAAATAATAGTAGAACGTAAGGTAGATATCTAGCTACACTTGGCTCTTCTGCTTATCTCTTGTTTAACAACTTAAGTATGTATTTGTTGGTAGAAACTACTTATATAATGTACGTGAACTGAGTATTTCAAGGGAACAAAGACAGCTAAAAGTCACTGATGTATTACTAAGTTGTATATTGTAGAGTGCATCTAGTTAGGTTTTTTTTTTTTTTTTTTAATCTTTTACTTCCTTTATCTATTTTTTAATATTAAAAAAGGAGAAAAAAAAAAAAAAAAAAAACAACAACAGTGGGAACCTTTTATTTCCTGCCATTCTACTTTTTCTCTTGTTCTTTCTCTATATTTCAAATTTTTCCTAGTCTTTACTACTGTGGTATGCCTAAAAGCCACCACATAGGTAACAAGGAGGACTAGCTTTGAAAAGGCAGCTGAAAAGATATTAAGAAACCAAGCCAAAATTATTAATCCTGTATATTAATTGAATAATCTTCTGATTGAGATAATTAAATTGAGGCTATTGCTATCTGTGAACTATGTTTGAAAGGGAATTCAAGAGCTCTCAAATTTGAAGCCTTAGCTTAAGTTTTGCATGCTCTCTGGTTGAATAGTCAGCGTGTGGTCCCTCCTTAAGAGAAACAGGAACATTGTGGTAGTTGCCTAATTCTTTGTGGAAAGCAGGGACACTTACTTCAGTTTCAGTTAAGAAACTGCCACTCTGTTGGAAAGAGAGTTGGTTTTGTAGCCAATGAAACCAATGTAATCATCTTATACACACACTAATGTTAGCCAGCTTTCCTAGAAGCATGTGGGATGAGTTAACGTTAATAAGGGCTCACAGGTTTTCTTTTTCACTTTCCGGAGAATTACATTTCTCTGTAATTCACTGCTTCATTCAGTGAACCCTGAAACAATCTTGTCTTTCAAGGAAAAGAAATCATCACATAAAATTGAAGATGGCTAAAAATAGTTTGCTATGAGTGCTCAGTAAGCCTCATTCAGTATTCTTAAATTTACTGAAGTGAGGCCATTACTAGCAGTGATGCCTGTGAGAATTTCGGACCTGACAGCTCCAGAATCCCCCCCTGCGATTTGGCAGAGCAGGAGTGCAGTTTCCATGTATCAGTGTGTTGGGATGGATCTCTTCTTCAGCACCTTGTTATGAATTTGAGGGGCTCCACAGTCTTTTTCCAAATAGCTTTGTCCAGGATAAGTTGCTTCATATTTTGCTTGGGTGTCTATTCTTCCTAGATTGTCTCCCCATGGTGCAATTATGTTGTAGTCATCTAGGTTACAGCAGTGTTACAATACCCATGTACGTGTTAATGACTAAAATAATTAATAGTTGTGGATTCTATAAAAATATTTCATGATCAATTAGTCTTGTGTTGTTCAACTCCTCTCTTACACTTCCCATGTAGTGTCTAAACATTGAAAATGACAACCTGTCTGAAGTAAGCACAATCACAAGCCCTGAAACCAAGCCAGCGGAGATGCACAACAGCTATAATTACTACAATTCATTACCCATCGTGAAAAAAGATGTTAACTGTGGTCCAGATTTCCTGGAGAATATCGAGGGCCCTTTCTCCAGCATTTTGCAGCCAGAAAACAGCAGCCAGCTGAACGTGAACTCTTTAAATAACACACTGACTTCGAGCTCTGATTTCTGTGAGGATTTCTATACCAGTTTTATTTGTGCAAAGGGGGACAGTGACACAGTAACAACAAACGCTATCAGTCAGTCACTTGCAGATATTTTAAGTGAACCTATTGATCTTTCTGATTTCCCACTGTGGAGAGCTTTTAACGATGACCACTCAGGAACTGTGCCAGAGTGTAATGATTCTGACTCTGGTATTTCACTGAATGCAAATTCTAGTGTAGCATCACCCGAACACTCTGTTGAATCATCTACCTGTGGAGATAAGACTTCTGGTTGTAGCGATTCTGAAATGGAAGACGTGGACAGTTCTCCTGGAAGTGTGCCACAGAGCAATGCTAGCATGTACTCACTGCAGTTCCCTGATCAAATGCTTCCTTCTGTGGAGCCAGGCACTCAAAAAGGCAGCTTGCAACATATGGACACACCAAAGAAAGACCCTCCTGCTGCCCCAGGCCACCCCAAAGCTCCGTTCACAAAAGATAAACCTTCGGGCCGTCTTGAAGCTCATCTCACAAGAGATGAGCAAAGAGCAAAAGCTCTGCAGATCCCTTTTCCGGTAGAAAAAATCATCAATCTCCCTGTTGATGACTTCAATGAAATGATGTCTAAGGAGCAGTTCAGCGAAGCCCAGCTTGCACTTATTCGAGATATACGCAGGAGAGGCAAGAATAAAGTGGCCGCTCAGAACTGCCGTAAGAGAAAACTGGAAAACATAGTGGAACTGGAGCACGATTTGAGTCACCTGAAAGATGAGAGAGAGAAATTGCTTAAAGAAAAAGGAGAGAATGACAAAAGCCTTCGTCAAATGAAAAAGCAATTAACCACCTTATATGTTGAGGTCTTCAGCATGCTACGTGATGAAGATGGAAAGTCTTACTCTCCTAGTGAATACTCACTGCAGCAAACTAGAGATGGCAATATCTTCCTTGTTCCTAAAAGCAGAAAGGCAGAGACTAAACTTTGAAGAGCAGCATGGCTGGCTGGTGTTCCCCGAGTTACTATTTTTGTATCGTTAATAGCTTTTACTGTGAGGTGGAATGCAGAATTAGGTAATATTTTTCAAGTAATTCTATGCAATGATGATTTGAAAATTAATATTTAAGTTTATGAAAGGTGCAAGTTCAAAACTAATTGTGTAATGCAGATGTATGTATGCAAAATTTGTAATCTCACTTTTATAACAGGCATTTCCTTCTTTTAGCACCATTTTAACTAGTTTCCATACATGTAAATATTTAAAGATACCGTATTTATATACTGTTCTTATCTCCTGTTATATTCATAGATTTGATAGAGAAGAATAATTCTAGCCTCCTAAATCTAATTTCTTGCAAGATAAACAGTATGGCTTCTTACTTTTTTTGTAAAAGAAAAAAATGCAATAGCGTTTGTTTCCAATTTTTATAAATGCTTTATATTTAATGTATGGTTTTAATTTAGTGTCGAGCTGATACTCATTGTTTGATTTTGATTCATCTTACCATTTCATTAAACTTTTTATTGTTGTTGTTGTTATTATTTTTCATGCCGTAGGCATTTATTTCCCTACAGTAGGTTAAGTGCCGATTCAGATATCCTCACTGGTTTTCCAAGATAAGTCTTCATGCAACAAATACGCTTAACGAGCAGAGATGTATTGCACAGCACTGTCAGCATTATTCATGTTCCCCGTAACTTTAACTACCATGTGGAAGGATTGTGTAACAAATTTGTTTCAAGCCTATGCTAAGTTTATATAATTTGTTTTGCTCTCAGAACACTATTTATAAGCTCATGATGAGATCTCCTCCAAAGGCATTAGAATCTGTTAATTAAAAAGTGTCAGCATTATGTATTTTTCCAACTAATAAATTCTGTATACCTTTCAGTAATTTTTCTAGAAATTCATTATGCTAGAATTTTCTAGAAATTCATTATCTCTGACTGATCAGCAGGCATCATTTGTCGCTGCTGTGCTGTTTGAAGTCGTGGAAAAAGATATCCCAAGGGCTGAGCAATGCACTCTTTGGAACCTGTGCTCAGTTTGTTGAAAAAATGTTGTGATGTTTGAAGTTATGAGTTACAAGAGATGAAAAATGGGGCAAATAAACCACAGTGTTTCACTTACTCCTCCACTGGACTCATTGTACTTGATCATTGTGGATCTTTCTAAATACTGAAAAGGCATAATTTGAAATAGATGTTGAAATGAATGTTAAAAGCTGTATCACCTTCCCTGTGGAACTTCTAAAAGGAACGTTTGAAATGTTTTTTCTGCCACTGGGGCTGTTTCAAGATTAGTTTAGGTATATTTTGTTACCATGCATACATTTGTTTAGTACGCTAAGCATTGAGCCATTCTGCAAGTTTTGCTAGACCTATTGAACATGTCTCTAAAAAGAAACTAATTTTTAAGTTGAAGAGCTTTTGGCAATCAGCCTTGTTTCCCACGTGAAAGTGTTGTGAAACTGCAACTGCAGTGGGCAGGGCTCGTGTTCCAAAAGAGGAAGGGTAGGGGGCTAGGACAGAAAGCCCTGGTTTTGATTAGTGCTTCTCTATCAGGGGATGCTGTGGAGCTTCTCCTTTCTTCCACTTGTTCTCCACTGTTCTCACACAACTCCGGAGGCTCTGTAAGCTCCCTTTCCTGAATATTAATAACTAGTTTAGGACCGACTGTGGTGTAGCTGTCTGTTTGGCTTTTCCTTGAATGCACTAAATTTAACAAGCGTTTTGTTGTCCAGTTAGTCACAGTAATAATAGCAGAGTAATCCTTTGTTATCAGCTTTTGTTTTCATTACTCCCCAAAATTTTGTATCTACGCTTTGTGAGCCGGTCATTCACCCTCTGTTATCTTATTTACAGATTCTGCATAGCAGAGGCCTTTCTGCTACCTGGTGCCAACATGCACACAGTCTCTATTGCGCTTCAGCTGAAGTGTGACGTTAGCTAACCAGAGAAGAGCCAGGAGTAGGAAAGCAGATCTGTTCCAACAGCTTTACCAAGAAGGTAGTTGTATCCCAGGGCTGGATGATGCTAGGAACCCTGCTCCTATTGATTATATCCTATTGGAAAGAGTGCAGCCAAGTACCAGTACCAGGAGACAGTCTCCAGCTGACAGAGACTCCAGGTGCCTACCCATAAAGAACTAGAGCACAGGTAATGGTTTCACACAACTTCTCATGCTTGTTACTTACTTTCCAAAGTTTGGTCCTGCCCTACAGGTGTTTGTATCTGAGGCAGCAGATGCAGTGAAGTCAGCAGGAGTCAATAAGTACAGGCCAATAAGTACAAGACAATTTCAATTTCAACTTATTTCTTACAATTTTTTTTTTTTTTTTTTTTGAGTCAGGATATTCACCTTAATGCTGTGAAAACTGTTTCTGCTTTTAGAACCACATTAAATGCATTTCATATAGCTAAATAAGTCTAAATGTTATGCTAGGAAACAAGGATTGCACTTGTGCTGGTAAAAATCTGAACCATCATATCTGCAGTCAGTAGGAAGAGTAGCCCTTGAGCAAGAATGGTAGTTTCCACTCTTACAATTATTCTTCCCTTTTCTATAAATAACGCATTCTCAAAAGCAGCTATGAGCAGGTCAGTATCTGATGCTGGAAAAATACTATCCTAACTTTCAATCTTATCTAACACAGCTGAAGAGTAACAGAGATTATCCCCACAGGCACGTCTCTTTTTTTCTTCTGACAGAATACAAGCTATTAAGCCTTGAGAAACTGTACCAAGAGAATCCTGCTGGCAAGGTGCTCTCATTTGCACTATTAGTCCTCACACTAAGGTAAATCTGGAGAGGCCTGGCTGCACTTTGATGTGGCCCAACCACAGATTTCTTGTGGCCATTTCCTGTAGTGATGCAGATCCTTAAAACAGCCTGGGCTGATTTGTCAGCTCACTGCTACCAAAAGTGGAAGGACTGTCAAAAGTTTCCCTCTCCGTCTTCTCCACTGTCTGCACATGGCTGCTTGTTCCCAACCACACCCTGAACTGTTACACAGCAATTTGGGTCTTTCACTCTTCAGAAAACTGGTGCAACAAAGCAGCCAATTCTTGCACATAAGCACTGCAACAATTGCAGCTCACACAAGGAGACAGGAGGGAAAAAAAGGAAAGACATTCTAAGCTCAGCTGCTCCCAAGATCTGTGAGAGTCTTGGAAACACTAGGAATACTGCCCTTCACATTGAGTAGAGATGTTTGTTTCTGCAGAGGGTATTCGTTGGTGAATAGAAATCCAGGTGACTTGACTTGCACTTACCTTGTTTACCAAATTTTATGTTAATAGCACATGAGTCCATCCCCCTGCAGAGTCCTTGACTTACTCTGAAGGCAAGAGGACATCACTTTGTTGAGCAAATTGTCAATACCAATGGCTCAAAACCTGAAAGCCAGGATTGACAGATTAAGCAGGTTTATTTGCTCTAGATAGAGCGGTCAGTCACCAGGTAAACTAAACCAAAGATATCACAGGAGCACGGGCTATTTTTCTTGCGACTGCTGTTCAGTATGCCTGTATTGAATTTAATGCAGTACTGCCAAGGAAGGAAAACTTCCGTAGGAGTCATCGAAGCTGTCTGAAACACTAGAGGAACGAGAGACTTTGGAACCATTTAAAGCAAGGTGATCTAAAGCATTACTGAGAATGGCGATTTTAAAGTACAAGCACTAGTAAAAAGATCATACTAAGCTATGGCCCTGAGCTGTCATTCAACAGCGATACACAGTAGCTCTAATACAGGTACATCTAACAGTACAGTACAGCAGAGTACAGTAAGATGCTTGCCTCCCCTTTCCTCTCTCCTACCCCCCTCCCATTATCTAGGTTATCAAGGGCTTGAAAAGAAAACATTCTCTCTAGATGAAACACTGGTATTTTAATCACAATTTGGGTATAAAGCAGTCCATGATAAGCCCCTGCCCTGCATTTTAATTTGGTACTTATTTAGTACTAATGCTAAAGTCTAAGACAAACATTCTTACAGCCTCTGCAGGGTCTGCTGTGATACAGGCTTGCTCACTCCATTACCAAGATAAAAAATATGATGAAGCGCAATAAAAAGAACACAGTTAACGTAGAAACCTCGTTTGAATTCCGCTGGCAAAAAGTCAGTCTGAAGTAACTCAGACCACAACATGCATTCAGTACAAAGCCGAACTTTCCCCATCACGATCACAATGGCATTTGTGCTTACAACTAACAACATTAAGGGAGAAATGTTCTGCATTAGATCATTCAAGTCTACGTGAAAATATTAGGTCGCAAATCTTTCATTTTATGGTCATAACCAAGGTACAGGATGTGCTCCCAAACCTGGGAACGACCAGTGGCGCTGCCACATCATGTAAATTCTCATGCATCGCAATTCTGACCTCACACGCTGACAAGCCTCCACATGGAGACCTTTTGTTTCTTGATCAAATCATTCCATTGCAAAGCCATTATAGCTAAAGCTCAGGAGCTGAGTTGAATCTAAGTGAATTAACTTCTGACTTGCAGACTCTGGTTTGAACAATGATCCCACCACTGCATTGCAGTACATTAAGTTTACTTCGTACTCCTCTCAGCACTAAACAAAAGTGAGGGCAACACATTTAAGATTGTGAGTCATTTGACAACATACACTTTATTTTGATACAAAAATGAAGTATTTTAACATTTCAATCCATTATGGACTATGCTGAAATTTTTTCACTTCCATACTTTTTGAACTTGTTTAACCACAAGGATCAGATATCACCATACTAGCACCATTGCTCTTGAAGTCTTTGCCAGTTATTTTAATATATTATTCTGTCTCCAATCTTCCAGTATTGTCTTCTACATGAAGGTCATTTTTCTTCTACGGAGATAGTTGGATTTTTAGATGAGGAAAAAGCTAATCTTAGACAGAGATGTCAACCTGTAGCACCCACAGCAGAAAAAGAATCCATCCATCAGATATCTGCATTTTAGTGATACTCAAGATCTTTCATGCTTCACACAAGATACAAATATTTGTCAGAGATCACAGACTGATATGTGAATGCTCCGTTGTAATGCAGACAGTCTGTGAATAAAAGTTAATGGCTTAAATACAGGAAGCAAAACCAGTATGTCAGTACATCACACAAGCAACACTTGGAAGAGGAGGAGCATTCCCATTCCCATAGTAAAATATTCAAAGGATATCAAAGTTAAGATGCCATGGTGTTTCGGTATTGTCTAATAACAAACAATTTATCGCATCTGCATCAGCCTGGGCTCATTCTGGGCAAATACGTTTACTACCTGGAAGGACAAATGGCTTTCAAGTTAACATACAGTTTTAGGTATTTAATAAGTTTCTACAGAACTGCAATACTTCGCAACTTTATTTTCACATCCTTACATCTCCATTTACAGCTGCTAGAGAAAAATAATGTCCTTAACTCTTGGAAGTGTGTCTCTTGGGCAAAAAAATGCTTGATCAAATATGCCTTAAGGATTTCATCATCTTTGAGAAGTTTTATTTCTGAAAGAAAAGCAAAACAAACAAAAAAACAACCAATGAGGTATGCGTAACTGAAGCCAATCAACCTAATAGGAGTGCTACAAAACCAACTGCAAAAATAGCTCAAGGAATATCTCTGCACACGCTTGGTGCAAAAAAACCTAAAGACCACAGTATGGAGGGGTAAGGCTTTACTAGGCTGCTGTACTGAGCACTGGAATGCAAGCTAGAAATTTTTGTTCAGTAGAACTTACCCATTTTTCCAAGATCTTTCCTTTTAAAAAATTGCCACCTTCCCCCAATGGACAAATACCTTCATACAAACTGAGCACATGAATGCTTTCCCTGGTGACTTGTGGCATTGAGTGACTGCATCAGCTCACAAGGACAACACTGCATAGCAGAGAGAAAACTAAGGTGCTTTTCACCTCCAGGTAAGATAGCAAGCAAGTCACCTACAACAAGCTACCTAGTGTGCTATACTAAGGAGCCTGTGATCTCACTGCAGCAGGTTTAATTCTGGCTCAGCCCTAAGTAAAAATTTGTCAACACTGTATTTAAGTATATACTCACTATGAGATTTCCATTCACTAAGTATCTCCTGATTATATGAAAATTGCACATTACCATTGTAAAAATACTT